AGAGAGAGAGAGAGAGAGAGAGAGAGAGAGAGAGAGAGAGAGAGAGAGAGAGAGAGAGAGAGAGAGAGAGAGAGAGAATGTTCAGTGGTCTGCATGGGTGACTTCTTCGCGTACATTAGTCTTCAGCTCGACATAGCCCGTTGCATCGACGTAGTGGAAGGCTAGTTACGAACTTGCTGATCGTGGTTCAGGGCGCTGGGTGCCATGTGGGGGATCGACTTTGGATACTTTGTTGATGGTGGCGAGACAGGGCTGTCATTGACATTCGAGTCCAATGCTTGCTCTTATTTGGCCTGTAACTTGGTGCATACTACTTTCTGCTTGCTTCACGACTATCAGGTTTACAATGCGATGATGCAATTTGGTTTTCTGCATTTCGCTCTTGCTCATTTTCCTTGCACACTTACTTTTTGCACCTTTAACCCACCAGTACTAGTGGGGTGTATTCATATGGTCACCACCACCCGGGTAAGGGCATGGTGTGACTGTTCTGATCCGAACCCAGTGTTTGTGGGGTTCACCGTTGTTAAAACCACTAACACTGTTGGGGTTACCATGGTGATCACCATTTACACTCATGGGATTACCATGGTTAACCCCACTTACACTGGTGGGGTTACGATGCCTACCCCCCCTAACGCTGGTGGGGTTAACATGGTTAACCCCTCTAACACTGGTGGTAACCATCGTGCCAGTTGGTAAGGGCATGGAGTGACATCCTGGATTCAACCGCTGGTACGAGTAATGTTTTTCCTTTTCAAGTTTTTAGTATTTCACTCTTTCTAACTTTTAAGTCTGTTTTAAATGGTATGTGCAACACTTTGAGGGCCAGGCTCACCCTGCTGCTATGGTTTTGTGGCTATTCAGCATGAAACTGGCCGTGCATCTGGCCAGGTTGGTTGATACATGCCCGGTTGGGCAATGTATGTACAACCAAGGATCCGCAAGGTGATGAAAGGGACTGAATGGACAATGCAGTGTTAGTGGAATCTCAACAAGCAGTGTTCATCCTGATACATACAAAATGGCACTTTGTAGCGCAGTGGAAGACTTGGATATAAGTCCTGACCTGACCGGGACTGTCAGGACATCCCATCATACTTCACACATGTGAGAGGAGGAGGAGATACCAAACTGTTGCATACCGTAATGGTGCAAACCAGAACAAGGACCGACTTCCCTCACGTAGTAACATACATCATCATCATTACAAGTTGTGAAGGGCCCTGGCGCTCACACAGGACGAATGCGCCAGCCCCAAACATCCACAGACGAAGAGGAGGGGGATTAGACAAAGACGAGGGAGAAGGTGGGAATGTTGTCACACTAGTGTCCCTGCTATCGATCCCAAATAGTCCCTCGTCAATGTCTCTATCCCAAAGTCGAGTCTGTATCCCAATGTCGTCAACATCCCCAAAGTCACCAATCTCTCTCTCGCTCGTAGTCTGCTGATGCTGAGAAGTCAGATAGTGAGAGGGCGAGGAAGAGATGGTGGACTGAGAGGAGTAAGAAGAAGA